TTGGCGCGGTGTGGTGTTAGTGGTGCGATGGATCTGCGGTGGGTGCAGACGGTGGTAGTAATGGTCGGTACGATTCGTGGTGCAGTGTGATGATTGTGGTACGGTGGATTTGCAGTATGGTGCAAGCGGTGGTGGTGATGGTTGGTGCGATCTATGGTGGTGGTGCGAGGTAGTGTGTGCGGTGGTGCGGTGTACTGCAGTGATGGTGAGGTGACAATGGTTATTGGTAGTGACGGTGGTGGTTGTGATTCGTTGAAGGTGGTGGTGGTGGTAAGGCAACATCGGTATTCCTTTTTTTTTAATGACTCAGGTGTCCAAATTTCGTCCAACTAATCCTAAGGAGTGGCAACCTTTTCCCCTAGTTCTACACCCGAATTAATCTGGACGCGATCACAATTTATACACACTTGGGCCGGACATTCGACGGTTCTCCTCCTTGTGGACCTTTGCCTTCTAACATAGATGTTGCTTTCCAACATTTAAATGTTGCCTTCCAACTGTTTGGAGATTCAAACATTCGATACTCTGTAGAGAACTCTCATGTTTTACCACTGCGTCATGCCCGTGGAGGCGACATCGATATTCTTTTGGTGGCGTCAGTGGTGAGTGTGATGGAATGGGTTTAGTGGTTTAGACCAATTATTGGGAAATTGTGATCGATGAAATTATTAAATTATGATCAATAAATAATATGATTTAAAAACGTGTGATTTGTGACATTTACACTATAATATTTTGTATGTAAACTCAAAATTTTTCCATACTTTTTAATCACACATTCTCCAAAAAATTACCATTCAAAACATCATTATTTCCTAATTTTTCTTTATAATGGCCTTAATTTGATAATTTGTCATCGTGTGAAATAAGTTATGACCAATTAATTTGTTAAATTGTTATCGAAAAATAATTTATAATCAATTAACTTGATAAATTGTGATTGTAAAATAAGTTGTGACCTATAAATTTGATAAATTGTGACCGTAAAATAAGCTATCTCTATATAAATTGTCATTTGTGACTTGTGACAAATTAATTTGATAAATTGTGATTGATAATAAATTGCGACCTATAAAATTTGTGATTTTTGACATTTTGTGATTATAACTAGTACATAACTATAAACATAAAATGTATTATGACCTTAATTTATTTATTTATTTAAATATATTTAATTGTTTATTTAAAAAATACCGCATGATTTTTGATTTAAGTGAGAATCTTTTTAAATATCTTTTCTTATCTAATATACATATATTATATATATAATATAATAAAAAAATATTTATGACTTGATTTTTGAAAATAAACAAGTTTGTTAAAGTTGAAATTATTATTTTTAAGTATAGGTAGTAATGTATTTTTATCATATATGAACCTTCTTAAAATTCTCTCTGTCTATAAAAATATACTCCATCCATCCTATAAAGATAGTCATATTTATTTTTCCACGCAGATTAAGAAAATTTAGTTAATATAGTTGGAATAATAATAATTATTATAATTTTTCCTAATATTCCCCTACATTAATGCAATCGATATTCAAGAAAATTAAATTATTCTTGGTACTAATCATTATTTAATACAAGAATCAAGGTAATTAACATTTCAAAGTCATCCAATACAAATACAAATGAATAAGGGGGTGTTTGACACCCATTTTTGTGAAAAAAATGTGTTTTTGAATAGTGATTGATAGAAAAATGTGTGGTTAAAAAGTAAGGAGAATTTTTAGATTTATGTGTAATATTATTTTATTAAAAAAAAGGGTGAACCGCATCCTTAGCGGCCCCCACCTGCTCTACCCTAGGCCTTGGTGAAGGAGATAAATCGCAGGTTATGTCTCCAAGAGTATAGGGTGGAAGACTGCTTGTACACTTGCACTTACCCAATGGCCAAATCCATATTTCAGGATTCGAACCCTTGACGCGACAGCCTCAAGCAAAGCTGAAGTTTTTCCACTTTCCTCTTTTACCACTTGGAGATGTGCTCTGGTGGCAATATTATTTTATTGATAGGATAAAATGTGTGGTTGAAATGAAAAAAGAGAAAAAGAATGAGAATGAGAATGAGAATGAGAAAAAATGGGTGTCAAATAGGGGCTAAATATCATGAAAGACGAAATGATTTTTTTGGTTTTTAATTTGTAGTTCCAACTACAACTGAATAATAGAATAGCTTATATTTATGATAACATAGCACATTAAATAATAGCATATATGAAACTAATATATGAATTACGCTATCAAATAAGAAACAAGACTATAATTTAAGATAGACGAAAAAGGAAAATAAAACTATTTTTATGGAACAGATGGGGTACTTCAAGGCCACGGCCCAATTTCAAGTCTATCATAACTGCCTTAACCTACATCAAACATGGGAAAATTAGGCCCAGTACCTCCCAAAAATAACTAATTTGAATAATACCCTATAAACTAATTAAATAACTTAATCACGTAATTAATACTTTCTAAACTATCAAAACACAAAACCCAATTCAAATTCCTAATACCCAAAAATCTGGTAGCATCCATGGCAGCTTTCTTTTCCATACTTATTGAGAAAATTAAGCTTATTCTTCTCGCGTACCACAGTGAAAAACTTGCAGTAACTTTTACACTGATTGCAACCCCACTAGGAGCTCCTATTTGTGTGAAGAAGAATCTCAGAATCTGTTTGGATTGTCATACAGCGTTCAAGTATATCTGTAAAATTATTTCACGGGAAATCATTATTAGAGACATCAACCGCTTCCACCATTTTAGAGATGGATCTTGTTCTTGTGGGGATTACCGGTGACATTAATTGCAGAGGCCAACTGCTCATTTTGGTTCTAAAAGAACAAGCCAAGTAACGTGGTTGAGTCATGCCTTGTGAATTTGACTTTGCCAGTGTTTCCATGTGATCTGCTATATCTGGAAGGTTATGTTCGAGATATTTGATTTTTCTACAACTTTTCTGGGTTTACTAAATTTCTCCTTTTAATATGACTGCTATTCACGAACTTTCTCTTAGATTGTGCTAGTTAATGTGACAACTTAATTTTATACTGGTGAAACTCATATGTGAACATGAAGCCTTGGAATTCTGGAATGCAGATGAAAATTTGAGTTCAGAGTTGATGGTTTTAGAATCCAAAACAAAAAAATGTTGTTAATTAGATAGATTGGAGAAAATGTAGTAAATGCACAATCTCATAAAAGGTTTAACTTTTGATCGAGAGGTTCTGGGCTTCATAAAAGCCATCGAGCGTAAAACCCTTAAACTGATTTCTGGTGTGTTCATTTCTTAGCCAAATGGTTAACAAAGAGTGCATTAAATGTTCCACCTTGAAATTCGCAGTTTGTCACTTTTTTTTTTTTTGAATTTCGTCACTTTTGAGTGTTTGTCACTTTTTTTAAAATTTGTGTCACTTTTTCAAGTTTGTCACTTTTTTTGAATTTTGTCACTTTTTTAGCGTTTGTCATTCTGTCACTTTTTTAATCTATGTAACATCTTTTAATTTGTGTCACTTTATTGAATTCGTCACTTTTTTAAAATTTGTCACTTTTTTTAATAACAAACATCAATTTTTAATAAAAGTGGCATGGTATTTGTTATTTTTTTTTTTTTTGAGTTTGTGTCACTTTTTTAAGTTTGTATAACTTTTTGAGAGTGTTGTCACTTTTTTTTTAGTTTGTGTCACTTTTTTTAAAANAATGTAAAAAGTGACAATTTTTATAAAAAAAGTGACATTGTGTCACTTTTTCATTTTACACAGTATTTTTTACTTCCTAAAAACCTTTCATATGATTTTTCAAAACATCCATAATTTTAAGGGTATTTTTGTAAGTAACACTACATGCAGAAATAAAGAAATGTACAAATTTTCTTTTATTATATTTAAAAAATCACTTTTACATACAAAAGAACTATTGACAGTTCAAAAAGAATCAAAAAAATAAATCAAAGTTATTTTCTTCGAAGTATACAGAATTGAGCAAAGAACAAAGCATAGTTACGAGGCGCTTCATGTGACGAGGCGTGGTATACAGTAATCAACTCGTGTGGCAAAGGACGGTGTAGTCATCTAGCGTAGCGAACATTCACCTCTCATGGTCTTGTTGATGGCTTCGACTTAGCCATTGGCTTGGGGTAGTGCGGAGAGAAGTACTTTTTAATGCCCAAATCATGACATGCTTTCTGAACCTTCTTGTTGAATTACGTTCCATTGTCAAAAGTACTTTTTAATTCCCAACCCACACACGCTTTCAAAGATTTCGTTTAGCACACAGTCCACCTCTTTACTTCCCATACATCCATAAGTAATAAGCCGCTCTTCTACTCAACTTTTGGGCTTCTTCCTTTTCTTCAAGGAAAAATTTATCCTCGAGGAATGCAGTGATTGACCTACCATATCACCTCTTTTCCAGTCTCAATTGAAGGCCACAACATGTGTTCTATTGACACAAAAATTTGAAATAGTGTAATTAACTATAAGCCCTTGAACAAAAAAAAATCCAATTAGCTCAATTATACATTTCATTATTTGGCATTCAAAATATTTGACTCGAATCATATCTACTCACACGAGAGGGATCTTCAAGGCTGTGACCTGAGATATTGTTTCACAATGAAGAAACATTAAAATAAAAACAAGTATACGATAGAGATGTTTGTGAAACAAATAAAAGGCATATATTATTATAGTAATGTGAATATCCATGAATTGAATTTGGCCAACGTATGAAATCCACCATAAGCCAACTGGTAACTACTAAATACAATAGTATAGCTAAATTTAAGGTCCAAGAGCCTGTGGTTTGTGGGACCATTTTCCTCTAACTGCTTGCCAGGAGGCCAAGAAAAAAAAATTGAAAAACAGGGCACTTTCAACAATTTTTCCGTAGTACAAAAACCCCCTCAGACCCCTCCTTCCCTCCATGGGCTAATGTACCATTCCCTCCCTCATTTGATTATTCTGAAGCAATAACAGTAGATTTACTGCAGTAGCTACAATGGCCCGACTGCAGCAACGATATCGAGGCGTTCGACAACGACATTGGGGCTCTTGGGTCTCCGAAATTCGCCATCCTTTACTGTAAGTTGATCTTGAATCTTGATTTAAATCATGCATTGTCATTTAATATTGATTGCACGTTTCCCACAGAGATTACCTGTTTAGTACGCAGTACTAGAATTTTAGCTTTTTTTTCTTCATTAATATTGTCCAATTCCATCATTCCGAAGCAGGTACATAACATTTTGAGTCCTCTGATACTAGGAGATGTCTGAAGTTTGTGTTTATGTGCAGGAAGACTAGAATTTGGTTAGGAACATTTGAGACAGCAGAAGATGCAGCAAGAGCCTACGATGAAGCAGCTAGACTAATGTGTGGTCCAAGGGCTAGAACTAACTTCCCTTACAATCCCAATTACGCGAATCGCCCTTTCTCTTCTTCCTCGAAGCTTCTATCAGCCACATTGACAGCAAAATTGCACAGGTGCTACATGGCTTCTCTTCAAATGACTATGAAACAAACAATGCAGGAACAACGCCCTCAAGTAATTCCTTCGCGTGAACCAGCAATCCCGAGCAATGCCACTGCCATTAAATTAGAGAGTGCTAATAACTATGAAACCAGTTTTTGGCCAGCAGATTATGAGAAGAAACCAATGGTGCAAGTGCAAGAAATCAAGCCACTTGAAGAAGACCACATAGAGCAAATGATTGAAGAACTTCTTGATTATGGCTCCATTGAGTTTTGCTCATCTAACTAGCCGATGTTATCTAGTTACTACCTTCAACCTAGCGGCCCTGCTGCTGGCTTATTTCGACATCACTCTTGATATTGCTGAGGAAAAAAAAA